CGAGTCGACCGCATAAAACAATTTCATTATGGGACCGACGGTCATGTTCGAGTAATTGATCTCCGCACTCAAACCGGAACGCTAACCACACCGCTCGTCAAATTATGMTTTCTACCAACCGCCGAAGATAAAGAACCGTAAAACCGAAACCGTTTATAAATCAATAAATCGATAAAACATATAAACCGCTTACCAAATCTAAACTTCGAATAACATAAACGAAACAAAAGACTTAACATAAATGTCTGGCACAAACGTCCATATTATTGTAAATTTCGCAATATATTACTAATATCATCAYTTCTCTCACAGACTAATATGGACGTGGATATGGCATCATCGTCAACGCCAACCATGCGTTCGGCAGTCTCCGCCCCTCGCTCTGAAGCTGCCCCAATAGCAGCACCCCGGACCAACACTGCACCGGCAGCGCCTCGTACAACGACAAGCTCCACCACGACATCGGCTCCGCGTCAAAGCACGACAGCACTACCCGCATTATCAGCGGATCTGCAACGAGAAAAGAATCAAAGAACTCCTGTGACGGCATACCGCCGGCGTGGACCCTCTCGAGCAGAATCCCGTCCCTGGCGCCAAAACCGGGCAACATCAACACGGCGCCATCAACTTAGGCCACAATCGCGCCGGTCAACAGGTCTCAGCAGCGTCGTAGCTACGCTACAGCAACTACAGGGGCTTCTAGGCTAAATACTCGCCTAGGGGGGCCKRGATGGCTAAATGAGTAGCGACGTCGCATCACATTCACATCAATTCACCACACCGAATCAACCATTCAAATCATCACGCGAGAGAACACCACACATTAACACACATACACGCGCATTCATCCAAACGCGATGACATTCTTCATTCTAATTAGAATAAAAGGAAAAGAGAAAGGATGTCGCGCCCCCTTTTTTCGTTACGACGTCAAGCAATCAACACCTTCGCTTTCCGCAGCATCCCGGTTCCGATTCGCTTACCCGAGTTATAATTACAAATATCTGATATTTATTTAACGTTTTTTTTAAAAAACCTACTGATTCCAAATATACATAATTGATCAGTTTATATTTATATAATATTTATTTAACGTTGCTAAACGATCCAATACAATACTTCAGTTCAATTAAACCTATTTTAGTACAAGAAGTGTGAAATGAAAATAAAAGCTTATAACGATTTTGAAATTGGTGCATTTTCTTTTACCTAAAAGTGTGAGTGGCCTGAAAGGTGAGTTATCTGTACACCCATATTCTAATGTCTTTCTAACGCGGTTATAGCCAAGTTAACAACAGCGCGCCAGTCGTTCCTCGAAGGTACGGACAAGTTGATGTCCGCCGCTTGGAGGCAGGTATGTTCAACATCTAGCGGTTTTCCTTCCGGGTGCGACCGGAGAGCCGCGTCGTTGGCGGCTCCCGGTGTATGGGCTTTGACCGCAAGATGGCTGAGTGTAGGGCTAGATCAGATGTCTGCCGAAGGTGCGGTCAAGAAGGCCACAAAAGTTGCAAGTTGCGTCAATGTACCCCATTGWCGCAACTGTGCAATTAAGGGTACGCCAGCTGGGACTCTAATGATGTCAACTGTCGGTCCGATTTTCTGAGCCATTGTTGAGCGCGCCCTAGCCAGACCCTGATGGGAGGAATCTTCCAGCTAAACTGTCAGTGCTCTTATGCCGTAATATGTGAATTGGGGGTTGCATGGGTGAGGGTGGGTATGGGTGGCTGTGGTATTTCCATTCTTCAGGAGCCCTATGCCACCAATGGTGATGTCTGGGGTCTTCCTGGGGGTTTTAAGGTCTTCACATGAGCCGTGCATATGGTATACGTTCGATAGGCTTGGGGGCATAAGCGACATTGATGTGACGCTTAGGAATCAGGCAACAAATGGAAAGATCAAATGGTGGACGCGTGAAGAGGCGGACTGTCAGGCGCTTGAGGCAAAAGTTTCAAACGCTCCCGACCCTCCAATTCTGATAGGCTGCCCTAGCTTAGGTATGAATTTAATTGTAAGGATAGGGAATATAAAGAAATAATAGCGAATGTTACAAAAAACGTCCCCTTTGGTCAGATCTATAAGATCTTCCGGGATCATAAGAGGGAAGATGTCACTTCTCTTCACATCGGTGACACTCTATTATTTCCGTGGAGACAGTGTGCGGGGGTTCTGTTGGGTGCGTTCTTTCCAAGGTCACAGGTACCTCAAGCACAAAAAGTACCTATCCTATCCCTCCATTAGATGATCGAGTACGCCTTTGGCCTGGTTAGGTTCAAACGGTCCCCAGRTTCTGATTATTTGAACAGAGAGATGTGTAAAAGCCAAAGGAAGTTCATTCCGGAATACCAGGAGGCTATTTATAATAAGTGAGTTTGAGAGTGATACTTTCCACGTGAGGGGAAAAGTGCTGGGGTTGTTCCTCTCCTGAAGTCCCCTGATAAGATCAGGGGCAATGCACGGTCTTATCGGGGCATCATTCTCCTTCCAGTACTTGGAAAACTCCTGGAAACAGTCACAATGGAACGGCTTCAGGAGCTGACGCGGGGTATGTGGTCGGATAAGTGGTGTGGATTCAGGAAAGGACGCGGTATAGAGGATGCATGGTTTTATGTTCAGAATGTTGCTAGGGAGAATATCAACAAATATATCCATTGTGGCCTGTGCCACATATGGCGGGAAGCAGCCACGACTCTCTTGGGGTCCCAAAATCTCCTCTCAATTCAGCGTTGTATGATGCTTTCCTGTTTGCTTGTATGTCGCACGGTCTCAACGGATGCAATGCATGTTTTGTTAGGGACACCCCATCTTGAATGGTTTGWCATACAGCTTGCTGGCTGACTGGATTTCATACGATGATGTGGAAAGGGAGGGATATCTAKAGAGCTAGAGGCTTCTGGGTAATAGAGTCAGGTGTAGGTGGTAAGAACGTTGAGACAATAGTCCTAATGGTGGAGTGACCTACGAGTTCATTCGGGACGCTGGGATCGTTGAGGATAACTCGGACTTCAGAGTTTGTGTGAGCTTGGATTTTCTTTTCACGGGTTGCATTTTTGCATTAGAGACACCTATCTGATAGGTCGGGTTTTTATGGGGCTGGGGTGAAAGATTGGGTGCATATTTTTGGATTTATGGGGATTAACTGGACTGATTGACGATTAGATATTAATGGTGTGATCTCCACTAGTTGGAATACTGAACATTAAAGTCGTTTTCGCGTGAGTTGTTTAAGCGGCGARGGCAGTTTGCTGGGAAYTAAAGTTAGATTTCGTATGAGTGGTGTGTGTATTGGGTCCAACCTCTGGCCACAAGTSCAGAGCTGTACGGAAGGTCAACTGGTAGAAGCTTTGGCTGATCTGAGCGGACACTTAATTCTGGTTTCACAGGGAGTAGGAGCATTTGGGGTTTACTCCAACCTGCTCATGTGGATTGGCCCCTCGGGGAGGTCAGTGGTGGTTATGGTTAAAACCGAAATGCGGGAATAATTTAATTTGTCAGTTGAATGTGGAGCCGCATTGCAGCGGTTGCCGGACTTAAAGTTTGGCAGAGTCTTAGATGGGCCTCGATTCCGACCAAGGTGGTTAATGTGTCCACTCCACACTGGCATTTTAATACTGAAAATGCCTAACATTCTCAGGGCGTTGAGCAATACATTGATTTGATCCGTTTTGATTTTGAGCACCGGATGTTTACAACAGTGACGTGGGTGCCCAGCGAGAGCGACGTCTGTTTTTTTGATGACAGGAGATTTTTCGTATAGCGCTCGTTCACCACTAGACCCATTTGCTTCGCTGCCTTATCCATTTAGGAGGAAGCAGATCAAAGCGGGGATTGTTAAGGCCAATGATGTCAATATCATCAACATACGCCAGCAGCTGTTCACTCTTATAGAAGATTGTACCTTCTCGGTTTAGTTTTGCAGCACGAATTACTTTCTGAAGAAGAAGGTTGAAGAAGTCACACGAAAGAAAGTCGCCTTGTCTGAAATCCCGTTTGGTACCGAACGTCTCGGGGAGGTCCTTTCCCATCCTGAGTTTACACAGTTACACAGCCGTATTAGTTTTGCGGGAATACCAAATTCAGAAATCGCGGCATAAAGGCAGCTTATTTTCGTGCTGCTAAAAGCAACTTTCAAATCGACGAAGAAGTGGGGAGTGTCGATTTTCTTTTCACGGGTTCTGTCCAAGATTTCGCGCATGGTGAATATCTACACTGATAAGTTCCAAGCAGTTTTTCGACAATTTTCTTTTATCTCTCACCCAATACGCTCGATAGAACGCGATGTTGCTTATCCCACGGAAGTAGGCGTGGATTGTGAATGATTTCATCTCACCATATTTAACAAAAATATTTTAATTTTACGTTGTAAAAATTAACGATATCCTTCCATATTTATTAAATTCCACTTCAGTTGTTCATTTTGCAGTACACAAATTAAGAAGCAATTAATAAATAACAGGATAAAACTTTGCGCCAATAACGTTTAGTGCATAACGTAAGAGAGTGTGTTTTACTCACAACAGTGTATCTTTGTGCCTAAAATGGACACATTTCAGCGAAAACTAGGTCTAGTCCCTAAATAACTAATGTCAGGATTTTCGAAAGTTTTTAGCAACTCTAAAGTACTTCCCTGGCTTTGATTCTTGCTTGTTGGAAGAGTATAAAATGTTCCGTTGCACCCGAACTTAGTCTTTCTTACTTATTAACTTAAATTTCGTGCGAAAACCCGTTTGCCAAAATATTTTGTTTTAGGTTTGTAGATCTGTCAATGAAATCTGTGCCAAATGTCACATCAAAATAATCATTAGTGTTTAGTATACGTTTTTCTTTTAAAAGTACATAAAGTACATTCGGCGATTTTAAGGATGAATAAATTTATTCAATTTATTCTCTGAAATTTTCCGAAAACAGCGTCGCGTTAATGTATGTAAAACAATGTTTTCTGAATATCACGATGTCATGAAACATATTATTATTGGCGATGAGTCTGAGAACTACTTGTATGTTTGCGACCCGKAAATAGAAGATCAATCGCCGAATATCGTTGCAAAGGTAGGCTGAAGCCCAAAAACCCACGTCATAAAGTAAGATTATGTTGAAAGTTTATTCGATTATTGAGGCACGGTGCACTTCGAAGTCCTTCTGACTGGCTATTTGAGTGATGTGCGTCGTTTGTGCGAAGCTATTCGAGGCCGTGATTATAGACCGACAACTCTTGTTGATGTTGGCTTAACATCAGGGAATGATGTCCTAATGGCAGCTAGCAAGCTAAAAGTCAAACTGGACCAAAATATTTAATTGATAAGATTGAGTATGTAGAGGAATCATAAAAATATAGACTAATTAACAACTGCGAATGTAAAATTGACAAAGGGCTAAAGCACAAAAATAAATGTCTTTTATAAGTCAATGGAATTAAAATATGAAACCAGGAATATAGGAAAAATATGCTAAGTTTACTTTTAAGGGTACGGTAAATAATAACGTAATATAATATGAGGTATTTTTATACTAAAAAATAATAAATAAGTATAATAAATCCCTCTCGTACCATTTCAGGTTTAAATAAGTTACTAACAGAAATAATATATGGGGAGTGACCAAAATTATCATTCATTAATACAGTGTCTGTAGGGGTACTTAAATTATTTATATTGCTCGAATTCGGTTCTATTATCTTAAATGGTTTAGGAAATATGTGCATTAAATTTAGTGTGTAAAACGTCAACCAGATGATTGGAATCCAAGCAATTTTGTATATACATATACTTTATATAATTCATCCACTGGCAGACACATAAGGTTTGTTAGAAAAACGGAAATCATTATATACATGCCACATTAAAAACCCAAACACGGAACTTCGAAAATGCTCATATTAGTTTGTAAGCGCTAGGTCAAGTTTCCGCTTAAATATACCAATTTTAGGCACAAAGATACACCGTTCTGAGTAAAACACCGCATATGCGGTACAAAGTCACCCGGAAGTTCGAACATACTGTGTGTATACGATATATTGGGGCTAAGAGAAGTATTGCTCCGGTTCAACCCATTTTTGCACACACAGAGAAAGATTATACCTGAATTTCAATTACATATTTCACACATTGTCTAATATTTTCGATCAAAAGTCAATATTAGATACTTGAGTCCAAGTATACGGTGTCTAAGTGCTTGCACTGTTTTTGAAGGATTTGAATAACTTTTGAATTTGAATAATCAAGTGGAATTTAAAATTGTGTAGTAGACGTGGTTGTTATCCGATTATGTTCATTTTCGTGCTGTAAAATAACAATATGAGGAAAATTGTACGTACCAAATTTTGTCGAAATTGGTTTGTCGAATAATGAGATATGGGATTTCCTCAAAAATGGGCGGTGCCACGCTCTTCGTCTAATTTTCACAACGGTTCTGATAAAGGCTTCTTATACCATCTCGAGATTAAAATCTAATATCTCTAGCGTATTTTCTAACCGTAGCTTTATGTGGGAAGTCTTCCTATAAGATTTATACCCAGCAAGTTTGGTTGTTGTAGCTTAGTGGTTTCAGATATGATTAAACTTCCGATTACGCCCATCTACTCGTATTTTTTTTTCCTTTGTGAGGAAACCATATATGTATCTATCTCGCTTAGTTTTAAGTGATAAGTACAATCATTGGCAACAGGTTGCAAAACCTAATGGTCATTTCTGTACAAAAAAAATTTTGAAAAAGTGAGGTGCCCTCAAATAAGTTTAATGTACATATCTCCTAAACTATTATACTAAAGCAACAACTAAATTTGCTCGGCGCAAATATTATAATAACTAATATCGACAATATAAAAATGGATGAAATCGGAAGATATCACACATCTATTGATCCGGTCGACCGTTTTCCATTAAATATAGTGCGTGCCATTTTTCTCATATTCTTATATTACAGTGTTAAAATAGGCAAAATCAGACAAAAGCTGACTTCCTACAAAACACAATATTAAAATCCATTTGGTTCTTTCACTATCCAGTACACAAAACAAAATGTAATTAATATAATAGGATACAATATTTCAGTAATAATTCCATAAAAGTATGACACCTAATGATCAAAAATTGTCCAAATCCAATCAAAGCTGTTCAAGCCCTTAGGTAGCGCATATGTGGACCCTGAGACCATATAATCCAAATATAAAGATTTTTAAACTTCCAGGTGACTTTTTGTTGAATATGTGGGCCAATATTTCAGTTATTTGAATGAAAATTACAGAACGTATTTTTCTCTTGCTGACTGAAATTGATGAAACAGGGCGTAAGCTTGATCTATCCCCATATAACTATTACCAGGGTTTTCGAAAATCCTGATGATTGTGCTCCACACGATTGATGATTGTATGTGAGCTACCTTAACGAAATTCAGGGAACATATACTTAGTATGTAKCATGATAATAGTTAATAGATAAAATCGTGTCGATACTATCCTAACTCCGATATACTATGTACATATTATGTAATAAATTTAGTTTTTCTAACAAATCTTGTGCCAAGTTGTCGGTCAATGTAAGATTTATGTATATACTCCTGCATTTTAATTTTCGTGAGTTTAAAAGAATATATTCACCTTGTTTCAATGTTGTATTTTGGTCTTTTTATAAATAAGAACTGTGGAAGTAAGTTGACGAAAACACTTTTCACCCAGGGAGCCATTCGGTGAGTTTGTGGAGAACGAAAATGTACATTCAGAACGACGACAGTTACACAAATACTGTGGAGTAAGAGTAAAAGTATATACAATAATTTCATATTTACGTCTAAATAATGGCATTTAGTACTTACCTAATTGACACTAATATCATTGCAAATATCAGATATTTTCCTAAAAGTGGTACAACTAGCGAAGTAGGAGGTATAATTTCAACTACTAGGAGAAAAAACACATGCAAGCTGATAAGTATAGAGATAGATAAAGTGACCTAAAAGAAATAAAATATATTGTTGTATTAATATTTTCATTATAAACAAAATATTTATCCTTTTTTATATTGATATTTCTATACAAATTTATTCAATGTTATTCATATAATAGGTTAAAATCCCTGCATATTGATCATGGTATCAACGAAGCCAAATTAATATATTAATAATCTTTTTTTGACAGATCAAGATGTCATGTTATTTTTTCAGTATTGTTTGGCGTTTGATCGAGTAAGGACCTTTACCCGAACATTTGGTTTGTCGGTGATGGAATGATCATTAAAAATTTCTTTAAAAATGTTTCTGAAAAGAACAAGTRAAGGGTGGAGTTATGTGTGGAAGTTCACGCAAGTGAATTTAGTTCTCCGATTGACATTCACTTGGGGGTGGCCAAAAATGATTCTTTTACATATGACTCATGCAGCTCACGACTTCCGTTCCTAGACCTAGTATCCTCTGGGTAGCTAAAGAATATCCCTTTGAAGGCRAGCTAAAGTGAGAATGCGTAACATCCCCTTCACAGGGTTGTACGATGGATTTGGAACCCGTCACATAAAAATACGCCCTCAATGAAAAATAAAAACCAGCCTCGGATGCGAGACCCCCCTTTTGATGACGATGCCTCTTTGGGAGCATACATCTGGAATATCCGGTCCCTTAATTGGGAAGGTGCTGCTGCTCAGCTGGATGTCCACGTTAGAGTGAAGGCTGAAATTACCTCCGCGCAAGAAATGGACGGGAAAAGGAAGAAGCGAGCACGTCCTTGTGGCATTTACTACAGTGGCCATATAAAGGAGCAAAAATTTGTTGTGGGAGAGAGACTCCGTCGCCGAGTTCTATCATGGTGGATAAACGTCTCGCCACAATCCGCATCAAAGCGAGGTTCTTCAAAAGGATGATGTGACCAAAATTGCCTTCTATGAGCGTTCTGATAGCACCTTTGCAAGCTGCCTCCGCCACGCTGTCAAAATCGTGCTTTTCTGAGGCCCGATATATGGTTATTTGTAGTACTAGATTCCAGCACAAGAAAATACATCAAGCTACCTGGCTGCCTCAGGATCGAAAAAGCACGAACCATATCGATCATGTTGTGATAGACGGAAGACACGTCTCTTACTTTTTAAGTGTATCTTGCTCCAGACTGGATAAGAAGCAAAGCAAATAGGTCTGATAGTGAGCGATGGCAAAACAAAATATCTTATGTCGTCAACGAACAGTCTTCACACTCACGGCTTGGCCCTCCCGTCACTGTTGGCAGTCATTACTTTTAAGTCGTAGATAGTCTTGGAACCACCAACAACACCAAAAGCAACGTCAGCGTCGAAATGCAACGCAGAATATCTCTTGAAAACAGGTGCTATTTCGAACTAAGTAGGCACTTCAGAACTAAAGTCCTCTTTCGACGAACAAAAACCAAACTCTATAAGTCACTTATTTTTCCCGTCCTGCTATAGAGAGAAAGGTTCAGCGAAAGATTTATGCTCCTTTGCGCGTTGGCGAGGGCAAATATCGCACTTGATGGAACGATGAGTTGTATGAGATATGTGACGACATTTACATAGCTCAGTGAATTGAAAGACAGCGGCTACGCTGACTGGACTATGTTGTCCGGATGGGCGAAAATACTCCAGCTCTGAAAGTATTCGTCGCAGTACCCGACGGGAGAAGTAAGCGTGTAAGCGTCAGTGTGTCCGTAATGGCTATATAAAAGAAATTGACTTTCGCACATTATGCCATCGAATGTACTTTTACAGAAATAAAAAGTCTTATTGATATCCCGATTTGTTTAATGTAAAAAAAAACTTATGCAGCGCTCTTTTTGGAAAACCTTTTATACTTGTATAATAAACTTTTGCTTTTTCTTTCGTTAAAAACAATAAGCAATAGACAACCATATATTTACCTACTATGCTTGTTTAACAGAATGAAGCGCATACGATTACGCAATTTTTATACTCTTGCAATATGCTGCAGCAGATAATGTAATATAATAGTTTTTATCACATCACATGTTCGATGTTTATAACACCTAAAGCTAATCGACACAGATATACATATATATACATAGGTGGAAGTTTTGAGAATAACAAGACAAGTTGAATATCGAGAGCCACAGAGAAAGTGTCATKAACGGTAGGTTTGCACTGTATTGTAAGGACGCCTACCATGCCATATGTCTTCAGGCATAGTCGCGATGTTCAAGTGCAACCAACTCTTCTCTTTGTCTGCAGTTATCGGTTATCGTGGCAAAAACGTAAAAGTATACCACTCAGCAAATCCTGAAGAGTTGGACCAGTTGGACATCGTTCAGTGAGACTCCAGTTATGGTCTGTACATAAGTTTCGAACACCACGCGGATCTTTGCTGGCAGTAGCAACTGGAAGCGTGGTTGCACGGAGCCTATGTGTACGAGTTCTGCTTACACCGTCATAAATTAAATGCATTTTTTTGATAGGACTTGATTCGCAATCATACTACGCTCTAGTCAATGAACTTGCTGTGAGGCCAGTGTATAAGACTCACCTAGTTCCGTTGCCTTTCGTCGCAAAAGCAACACTACAATATAATGGCCAACTGAAGTACGGTTATGAGGGGTGTCGAGGATCTGTCCACATTCGTTCATTGTCAGATCTTCAACCACCACTATTTCCTACGTTGGACACTAGTTCCTCCAGCATTTCCTGCCTAGCGAAATGGTGAAAGTGAGTGAGTGATTCCTGCGCAGTAAAGGTAAGTGCTGCTAGACCACCCAACAACAATTTAGCGACCAAAGAGTTAACAAAAACACCCTCATTTTGGTTAACGTCAAATTACCCCGTTGGAAATGTTACTTAATATATGAAGTCCTACTGTCACGGTATTTGTTGCCAAGTTATTCCGATTGAATTTTTTGAAACTCGGTAGGCTTACCGGTAGATCTTCAGATCAGTAAACATTTATTTTCATTCCTTTATTTGGGTTCATCTCAAATATGATCTTTTTATTTTATTTTTTTAGAACAAAAGTTTTTGTTATTTTTTCATAATTCAGCACAAAAAAATACTTGCAATTCTATATTTTCATACTTATACGATTAAGCCCTGACGGTAGGAATGAAAATAAGTCTTCCTTTTTTATTCATTATGCCAATTATTCTCATGGGGAAATTAACCTTATTATCCATTAAGATCTATACACTTTTGCATGTGTTTGAACCAATTGAGGTGTTGACTTCTTAGTTTATATTTTACAAACAGGACCATATGAATGATGACACATAAAATCGACTTGTGAGAGCTTGTATTGTCGTAGTGAAGCGTGATCCTCACGACTGGCAACCAGATAGCTGTTTATCATTCATTTATTTTTCTACGAGGTTCTAGTCGTACGGTTGTAATATATCCAGTTGCTACAAAAAAAGGACAACTGTTTGCTTGGAAGTGCTTTGTGCGCGCCCACCCCTTGTAGGGTTCGAATCATTTTAAAACAACCATGCAGTCGACCGATCTTTACTTCCTGGCGCATACACTTATGTCCACGTTTAATCATCTCACATAATTTCATAGACGTGTATCGATGCACAGCTATGTATCTATTTTTTTAAATTTCTCCCGAGCAATCGACACGATCCTTTTTTGCGCCATCAAAAAATTGTGGTCTATGAAGTAAATTTTTTTTATTCTGACAAAAGTTAGCGTTCAATAAAATCAGCATGTGTTGACGAAAGCATCATTTGGGTAAATTTGAGTTGATCAAGTATGAGTGAACGATTAGCGACAAGTCGACACGATATGAGCGTTAAGATCGCATGTACCGTAACAATTTCTATGCAGTTTGTTGTTGTAGCTTGCTTCCGTTGTCATTCGTTTTAGTCAAAATCTTCCTTTCCCTGTTACTCACATTACATTTTTGTAGTTCATAATTAGTTGCATTTTGTTATTTGATCAATATGGAGGGTATCATTGAGCTGTCTGCCCGACGAAAGGAAAAAAGCAATATTTTTAACATATTGACAGAAATTGTGAAAGGGGATGGTGTTGCTTCGGATGGATTTTTATACTGCCGGTCTTGTCATAATATTGTAAAATACTCACCGACATAAATGCTGCAAGTTGCTTAAAGAGACAACATTGTTGACTACTGCGAAAAGATGAAAAGGTGCCACAGGACTACCAACCCTTTCTTTCAGCAATCAATGGCAATGGATTTAGGAACATCGCAAAGTTCCTAATCAATATTGGTGGGAGATAGAAGGAAGGAGTTGATCTCGATGACCTGCTGCCTGATGCAACAGTGGTGTCTCGAGCTACGCTAAAGTTGGCGGATGAAAAAAAAAAATTAGTAAAGATGAGATAGCCGAAGTTGCTTATAGTGGTGGAGCAACTGCCACAGTTGACTTGTGGACGGACAGTTACGTCCGTCGGAACTTTCTTGGTGTCACCTTGCACTACCAAAAATATTTAAAATTGGTGGATCTAATTTTAGGTGTTAAGTCAATGAACTTCGAGCGTTCAACTAGCACAAACGTTTTAAATAAGTTGAACACTTTGTTTGCTGAATTCAGCATATACATATATATTGGACAAAATGAAGTTCGTTACTGATAGAGGTCCAAATATCGTCAAAGCTTTGCAGAACAATATTCGGTTAAACTGCAGCAGCCATTTGCTTGCCAAGAAAGAAAGCTAACTTACAGCATCATTTACAAACCTCCTAAAAAACCGAATTTGTTGGGATGGAACTCAAATTTCACAATTTTTAAGTCCATTGTGGACAATTGGTTCATCATTAATGAAATTCTGAAAGAAAAACAAGAAAGCAAACGGTTGTTGCTTATAAACATTTCAACGATGAAACAATTGGTAGATTCATGTAGGGATTTAGAAATCATTTTTAAGAAGCTTCAATTTTGCAGATGGCTACCGCCTCTGTTAACATTAAGAGAAAAGATTCTTAATAATGTTGATGAAATCTGGATTCCAAATATTTGTGTGTGGCAAAAAGCTGCTTGATTCTGGTT